AAAAAAACTTACCTTGTGCAGCACCAGTAAAATGTACATCAGCCATTGTTATTCAATTTTAAATTTAAATAAAAAAAAATAAATAAATACTAGTACTTGTATACGTTTAACTGAATATTTTTTAAGCAATATGTTAGCGAGCCGCTAATAACGCTTAGTCAAAGAGTGAATATAATCATTATTGATGTCTTTATAAATACGGATTGTTACTGTATTATCCACTGTATCAGTGATGGTGGTGCGCTGTCATTAATCGCACAAGTACATCGTATATCGCGAGCATAATGACCAAAGTATATCAAGTGGTCTGAGAAAAAATATTCAGGTTTCTACATGTTATACAGCACTTGTTACATTTTTATAAACGTCACCCAAGACAATTAATTGATAAATTTGTAAATTTATCATTTGTAATGGCGTGAAAACATTCAGTCTTAAAGTGAAATGTTTACATATATATNATCATTTGTAATGGCGTGAAAACATTCAGTCTTAAAGTGAAATGTTTACATATATATGTCATTAGGATTTAAAACAGATGCCTTTGTAAAAATTATGACCGTCTGCCGTCTCTAATGCATTGACGGATGAAGAATGCAATCCTTCCAGTCGAAGCTATTATTTTATTAAAAATAATTTATTACAGTTGTTAAATACGGTAATAATTTATAANAGCGACGACGAGGCCACGTTTGACGTCGGCCTCAACCACGTCGTTGCTCTCGCCCGAACAGCGGAGGTCGAGGGGAGTCTGATGAACGAGGTCCCGGGTACCCACCTGGAGTACCTCGTCCAGCAGATCTCCCTCTCGTGCCAGGCCCTCAGCGAGCTGAGGAGCGCGGTGCGGCCATGTCGCAAGAGATGGCATGACCCGGCGGACGTGGCGACCGCCACGTCGTCTATGATAGAAGGCATTGTCGCGCAAGTGGCTGTGCTTCGAGGGGTCATAGACAAACGCCGGGGTATGGGGGTGCACAAGGAGGTGCAGATGGCGACGAAGCGCCTGGAGGAGATCCTGGATGAGGAGAAACGTAGAAGAGCGTCTCCTCCGTCCAGGATCCACCAGGAAGCTGCACCTGAGATGGGAGCCGCACCGCTGGTGCCTAAAGTGACGACGGTGAAATCGTCCAAAGAAGCCGGGACGCAAACCGTCGAGGACCCACCGGCCGTCAAGCCGATGGGGACCACTAAGGAGATGACGAAGAAAAGAAAGAGGAGGACGAAATGACCTGCCGCCTTAGGCCCTGTCCTCGTATCGGACTTTGCGCCTACTTTGACGCAGTCTGAACATGGGGTAGGGAGCCAGGCAAACGGTGAAGGGTCTGTAATAGGGGATGCGAGAGTTGATCTCGCTGAACCACTGTGGACCAAAGTTGTAGGAAGAAAGGCAGGAACCAAGAAGAAGGAGGATGNATTTACGTTGGGTTACATCATCGGAAAGGGGTTCTGGTACGTTAGCTCCGGTTTTCGCGAAACGGAAGCCGACAACGGACGCGGGAACGCAAACGGCGGTTGGACCGCAATCAAACAGGCCCGGGACGTCTGATATGGCGTTGAGGAGGAATGTGGCCACACAAACAACGGAGGAGCTCCCAAATCCCAGGTCAGATCCGCTGACGAAGCCTGGGAAGAAGCGAAAGAAGAAGAAGGAGAAGAGACTGAACACTGTCGAGGGTACGGCATCCTCGCCGTAACGGTCGGCGAGGATGCCGAGAAGCATTCGGATCGGGGGACTGCTGCTGCAAAGTCCGCTCCGGCGAGTGCGGACACAGGAGCAGAGACGGAGAGGCCCACTTGGACGGAGGTGGTTCGTCGCAAGGGTGAAATGGGGAAGACCGAGGAAACGGCAACTAGGCCTAGACCTCCACCGCCTACACGAGGTCCGGCCGCAAAAAAGTTGCGGGCAAGGGTGCCTCGTACGGAGGCTGTGATTATCGGCCCTTTGAAGGGGGACTTGAAGTATGCCGAATTGATGAAGACGGCCTCTGTGGACCTTCTGGCCTTGGGTATCCAGGTGTCCGGGACCCGGAGGACTCAGACGGGGGCCGTTCTGCTGGAGGTTCGAGGAACCGCCGAAAAAGCGGATTTACTAGCCGCCAAGTTGGAGGAGGCGCTCAAAGAGAACGACGTGCGGGTGCATCGCCCTTCGATGACCCGCACTGTCATAATCAGGGATGTGGAGGACTGGTACGAAGAGGACGAGGTGCGTCGGTCCCTAAGCGACGCTCTGGAATGTCCAAGTGTTGGTCCCGTTATCATACGGCCTAACATTGGTGGCAAGGGGCGTTACGCGAGATGTGACGTGCCCGCCAAGGTTGCCATTCGGCTTACCACAGTGAGCCGAATAAAAGTCGGCTGGACAACCTGTAGACTGAGGATCATTGACAAAGGTCCTCAGTGCTACAGGTTTCTGGAGTATGTGCACATTCCCCANTTCTGGAGTATGGGCACATTGCCCACAGCTGTAAGGGCCCGGACAGGTCAGGGAACTGTCACAGGTGCCGAAAAGGTGGGCATATCGCTAAAGAGTGCCCATCAAGGATGGACCCAACCCATCGCGAAGTCCTGCCCCCACCTCCGCGTGGTGCAGCCCGGGCAACGGACCCACCAGTGGGGTCCGGCTAACGGGGGAGGCAGCACCGCGCGGTGATCTGGCCCCGGACTAAGTTCGGGCCGAAGCACAGCGCGGTGGCAGAAGCGTAGAAAGCGACGTAGGATAAATGGCGGAAACGTCAGGGGGAGACGACGCTCTTCGCGGGAAGAGGAAGGAGGTGTCTCCAACGGTGGATGGACCGGAGGTGGTCACGTTGGACGATACCCCTCCGGATGCCCCAATCCCAATGTTGGACACCCCCCGAAGAGCGCCGGAGACCAAGAGGCGGAAGTGTGTGAGATCGCGGCTGCCGACCTCTTCCATGAGGACGGCACACCGCGGTCAAAGCTGGACCGGGCCAGTTCCAGGACCGTCCTGACGGCCGGCCTGGAGCTGGTTGTCCATCTGGCGGACGTCTTAGAAT